GCGGCGGCGGCTGTGTTAGGAGGCTGCGCGGGGGCACGGGATGGGAGGGAGGAGGAAAGGTTCCCGCGCTCGGTCCCAGCCGGGCTTCCTGCTGCCCGCTCGGCCTCCGGAGGGCTGTTCAGACGGGGCGAATACTCCCTCCCGGGGGAGCCGCCGACCCACCGGGGCCAACTCGGGTCGGCCCGGGGGCGAAAGGCGCTTGACAGGTGCCCTCACTTCCTCGGCGCGCCGCAATGGTTTGCCCCGCTCGACAAGAGAGCGAGAGGGGGGGGAAGCTGGAAGGAAAGGCGCCAAAGCCGCGCCAACCGCGACCCGGCTAGTTGGTCGGAGCAGGCCGGCTTACTTCCCCAGCGCGCCCGGCCTGGGCGAGCTTCGCCGCTGGGGTTTGGCCTGCCGGGAGGTCTTGGCTCGCCTCCCCTCCCATTCCCCGCCGTCCCGACCTTCATCTATAAAGGCTCGGGCTCTTCCGCAGCCTTGCCCAGGCGAGGAAGCCGTAGATCAGAGCCCAGGAATTCGCAAGGGACCACCCCAGGGCTACACGCCTTGCATGACGGCCGTGCCCCGGGGCTGGAAACGTTCTCCACCTGGCTGGTTTTTCGACTTCAAGGCTCACCTACTCAGCATCCTGTTTCCCACAGCGCCCTTTGGGAAACCCTCTGCCAGGGCTTGAGAAAATAACAATAACCCTCGCCTGCTGGGATCCGATACATTTATTTGATTGATTTAAACTCTTTTTTTTTACCCCCCTTTCCCCTTAAAAAGGACCCAAGGCGGCTTACATCCTTTTCCTCCCCTTAAGTGGCAGAATACTTCCAGGAAAAGGGTGCCCTCTAATCTGAGCAGAAGTTCCAGCTGAACAAACAAGAAAAATGCTAGGATAATTTTGCATATTACTTTGCCCAAAAAATCGTGGGACGACAAGGAAAAAAATATCCCATACTTTTCTCCTTTGTGCAGAAAAATCGAATGGGTGTTTAAGCTTAAATAAGGCCTGTTGGACCCAGATAGTTATGGCCTGATCTTTAGCTTGCCTGTACAAGTCTAGGAATCTCTTCCAAACCTGAATCTTCCACAGTGCTGATAAGCAGTGCTTTTAATCATATGCAGAATGCTTGTCCACTTTAAAGAATGCTTGCTTAATCTGATATTTACAGTGGTTTTGCAGGTGAAATATTTGCATATTTAAACATTTTAATTATGTATTTATTTAAAACATTTCCCCCCTTTGTCTTAAAAAATTCCCCCGACACTATTTTAAAGTGTGTGCAGGTCTAACACCTTTATTGGCACCAAAGGCAGTGTGGGAACTCTAGTCTTGAATTTGATTAGTCAGGTATCATGTTCCACTGCAATTTCTCTAAGCATTTGCATGACAATAAATATATACAGGCCTCTCAGTTTAAAGTGTAAAATGCCACATTCCCACAAGGAGATTAGACAAGGATGTAACTCCTGACACCACAATTTAGCAGTGAAAAAAGTATGTCCATTTTTAAAAGATGTATTTTCCTTGAGGGCATGGTTTAATCCCTCTGTGATAACTTAGACTCACATATTTAGACTCATGGTGATTCTGAATGTGTAATATTGATGAAAAAGCAACTCAGAACAATTTCACAATGAGATCCGTATGGCCTCTTCGCTGGGCATTTTCAAATGCCAAATGAAAACCTGGCTATTCATGCAAGCCTTCCCTCCAGCCACCTGTTGATTTATTTTGCTCTCTCACCTTGAGTCTTTGTCTATTGATGTATTATTTGTTCTATATTTTAAATGGGTTATTTTATATGTTATTAGCCACCCAGAGTAGTCAGTTGACTAAATGGGTGGGGTACACATTCAATAAATAAATAAATAATGTTTACAAACTGAAAAGAAATATATTGAAGAATGGAAACAAAAGTAGACTATACTGAGATTTTGTGCTTAGGGATAGATGTAGGCATAGTCATGCTTAAACAAGTTTTATTGAAACAATTGATTTGTGTGTCTCAAGTTCAATGGAATTCAGGGGGTGTTCTAAAAATGATTAAACCTGATGTATGTACTTCTGCATTAGAGCAGACTTGAGCATAAGAGCAGACTGCACAGCTGCCTAAGTTATAATGTGGTCCCAAAACTATGGTTATTTTAATGTACTTAGTTTAAGACAGCACTACACATGATACTGGGCACCATGGATATGCCATTAGGAGATAGACCACTAATTTGATATATAGGACAATGCATCTATTTAGGTCAGC